AGAAGTTCCTTGAAAGGAAACTTTTCTTCATTTACTTTTTAATCTTGAAGTTAAAAACTACTCAATAGACTTGAGATTCTCAACAGACCCATCAGCCTCTTCAAATGTACCTTGCTAATTTCCCTTCTATGATTCCCTTACTTGCTTTTCCAGATGAATTTGTAAGATACTTGCTTCCTAGTACCTGATTATCTGGCCCAGAAAGAAAATGTCCCTTTTCTGACAGGGCTGTCTTGCTATCGGCATGTAGTATTGTTCTCTTGCTGAAAAGTATTCAGATGACCTTCTGTATATCAATATCTCAACTTGTATGTTCAAAAAGTTTCACGGTTGCTCGACCAAAACAGGGAATTCAAGGACTTGTAATGATTTGTTGTTGTTGTTTTTTTTTTTTGTGGTAAAAAAAGAAAAAAACAAACAAAAAAAAAAAACCCCAACAACAAAAAAAGCCAAGGACAAATCTCAACTTGGAAACTGATGCCCAGGAAGTGTTCCTTGGACTTTTCAGTCAGGTAGCCACTGAACATACTTTTCACAGTGTTTGCCACATTCTACCTAGGTTCCACAGAAGAGTGAGTGAAATGCATATATATTCCGAGATCAACACGTACTACGGAGGAAAAGTTTGGTCTTGCTCGGTCCTTCGTCAGTGTAGTGAGAGTGGTGGTGTCAGTAGTTTGGTGTCTCAAGAACTAATTTTATGCCATCCTTGCAGTCAGACCCCATAGAAATTCAATGTAGAGTTTTTCTCCTCTTGATGCAAGAATCTACAATCATGAAAAATAAGACAATGGTAGCCTACTATGCTCTTTGGTAATTACTTGGAGTCATCCATTTTTTTTTAAAGAAGCTGCTGGTGTTTTGAAAGAGGTTAGTTAATCTTTAATATCTTGTAGCTTCTTAACAGATAGTCCTATAAACCTATTCTCCATGATTGAAAAAGAATATGAATACTTTTTTATAGGAGAGTGTATCCAGAAATAGTTCACTAGCAATATGCTAAGATAAATACTATTTGTGCCCTTCCAGAATGTGTTTTAAGAGAGACCAGGTGTTTTCATGCTTTGTGTTCAAAGATCACTGTTTTCTAAGCTATCTAGTTCAGAGAAGATCTGCAGAACTCCAGCAACAGGCAGAAGAGGCTACAGCATTTATATGTTCTTTCTGACTCTTTCATCTTTAATTCTTAACCTTAACAGTTACAATTAATGGAACAGGTAGAAGAGCTCAGGCAAACATGAAATACTATTGTTCAAATCCTATTGTTGCAGAAAACATGCATGAAGTCAGGTAATTGGTTTTTTGTGACACTGAAATAACCAAATTAAACCCTAAATGGGTGTTCTGTTGCTAAACAACTCAGTAGAAACATGAGGATTAATCAGATATGTAGTATCTAAGGTTTGGTATTTGATCAGTTGTCTTTGAAGGACAGCAAACCAATAGTTCTTAACATTCTGATGGAAGACCTGAATTTACAAGAAGTTTTCAAAAGCTTTTAGGCAAAACTAAGTAAAGCATGCATAGAAAAATCTCTCTCCCAGTCTTTACTCAGAGAGGCTTTTCAGCAATACGTCAAGTATCATCTTAGAATCATAGAATGGCCTAAGCTGGAAGGGACCTTGGAGATCATTTAATCCATCCTCCCTGCCGCCAGGGACGCCACCTCTCAACTAGATCAGGCCACACATGGGGACCGAATGGGAATCGAACCCACGACCTTAGTGTTGTTAGCACTACACTCAACTGACTGAGCTAACCAACCCCCTAATGATTATCTCCTATCAATCTAAAATTCATATAGTCTGAATCGCTCTGTGAAGCCTTTTCATTTGAAGCGTCTCTCAGCTGAGCCAAGCCTATTTTAAGAAACAGAATATTAAAATTAAAACCAGAAATGAAGCAGCAGTTTTACAGACAACTGCCTTGTCTATAATGCAGATTTTGTGGGACAAGAGAACACTTGGCATTTCTTTGTAGCACCGGACCAAATGTGTGATTAAGTTTAAGCCAGCTGATTTTTTCACTAATGTTCACTCACAGTATTCGGATCTACTAAATTCGTAATTTCATTCTCCTCTTTCCACCCCACCTTACATTATTGTTCTAATAAACACTTCCACACTTATTGTGGCAGAATTCAGATGAACTTCTATGATTATTTTTTTTAAGTATTATTTTTTGGAACTGTTATTGCTACTTTTTAACTATATGATCATTTAATATTCTGCACATGATTTACTACAAATCCTGAATTGGATATCTTAGTTATTTAAGTTTACTTCAACTTTCTCTGACCCATCTAAGTAGTAATAGGCTAAAAAAAAGAAACATAAAAACCTGTAGGTCTTAAAAACTCTGGGGATTCATTTCAATCCTACCTTAACAAGCACTGCACTTAAAAGAAAAAAAAAAGGCAAAGCACAAAACTCTTCTGGAAGGTAACAGGAAAACAAGCATTTCTTCTTCAAAGAATTCCTTCATTTTTGTCTGATTTGATCTGATTTCCATAAACATAAATGGTAGTTTCTTTCTCTCAAGCCTGTTCTTAAGGCTGTGTGATGACAGGAAGTATCTTGCCAGTGTTTGATCCTATACATTGAATGAAATAAATGTATGTGCAAAAAGAGGTTTGAGCTAGTTTTCCTGTGCACCTGCATTAAAACAGGGGTACAGAAACTTGCTCCTCAGTTCTTGGAACTTCAAGCTTTTAGATTGAAAATGCTTTCTAATAATGTATCTGAAACTGATAGAGGTCCTTGAAAAATGAGCACCTTTAGTTGACTGTAATACTTTATTTCATCACCTTTAAAGGTCAAGTTTAAAAATTTCAGAAAATAGATTTTAGAGTGTAAATATTGGCACACGCATGCTCAAAGGCAGTTCTCTGCACTTAAGTACAGCAACAGTTTTACATGTGAGTACAGCATCTTATCAATGTAGTGATTCAAGTTGTTCTTTAAAAAATAACATAGTATAAATGAAGTCATAGTAATATAATGAAACTTCTGTAGATTTTACATACTGAACTTTCTTTAAGTTGTAAGCCATGCCTCTCTTCTGCTCTGTAATAATTAGGTCTCAGCAATGACTTCTAAAATGTGCATTACTTGGCTGCATCAAATCAATTTTGTTTGCTATTGCGAATGATTTTTTTTTTTTTCAAAATTATTAAAAGTTTAATGCATTAGATTACTGCTTGAATTCAACAAAAAGATCTTAAAACATCTCCTATTGGCATGATTATTCTGTTAGATTTAACACACAGTCTGATGTACAGTATAAGGATGTTTGAAGAAAATTATCCTTGATATTTTTTTGAAGGTTAGCAATTTTTTTTCTCATAACCAGTCAGTGGAAGATTGTATATGGAGGACAGGAGGGTTTTTTGATTCATAATCAGCACATCTTTTCTCTACATGACACTTCTTTCAGTCTTGCTGTCTTCTGTTTCACTTAGTTTCTGAACAAGAAGCTTTCTGGACCACCTAAAATTCCTGAAAAATAATGAATTTTCTGACAGTGCTTTTTCTGAGCTGCTAACAATTCTGAGCAGGGACAGTCTTTATTAGATGCTTGATAGCTGTATATAACTACTGAGTTTCTGATCCGAAGTTCATGCTCGCCTAGTTTTATGTGTGTCAACAGCTCCTATAGAGCTCAACATGGAAAGGAATTCTTGGAAAACCTGCTTGTGACCAGGGAGTTTCGTAGGGTGGGCAGAAGAGAATAGTTCCTACTTGATATCCTGATCACTAGCTTTAGTCAGCTCAGCACGAGCCACCAGTGTGCCCAGGTGGCCAAGAAGGCCAAGGGCATCCTGACCTGGATCAGGAATGGTGTTGTCCGCAGGAGCAGGCAGGTGATCATGCCCCTGTGCTCAGCTTTGGTGAGGCTGCACCTCGAGTGCTGTGTCCAGTTTTGGGCCCCTCACTACAAGAGAGACACGGAGGTGCTGGAGAGGGTACAGAGGCAGGCTACCAAGCTGCTAAAGGATTTGGAGCATGTGTTGTACAAAGAACGGCTGAGGGATCTGGGGCTGTTTATCCTGCAGAAGAGGAGATTGAGGGGAGACCGTACCACTCTCTACAACTGCCTGAAAGAAGGTTGTAGCGAGGCAGGGGTTGGTCTGTTCTCCCTAGTGGTGAGTGAGAGGACAAGAGGAAAGGGCCTCAAGTTGTGATAGCGGAGCTTCAGGTTGGATATTAGGAAGAATTTCTTTACTGAGAGGGCTGTCAGCCATTGGAACGGGCTGCCTGGGGAGGTGGTTGAGTCACCATCCCTGGAGGTGTTTAAGACATGGGTCAGTGTTGTGCTGAGGGATATGGTTTAGTGGTGCTGATAGGGCTAGGACAAAGGTTGGACTCTTCCAACCAAAACTGTCATGTTCTAATGTCTCACTCTCTTCAGTCCAGCACTTCCCAAACTCCCTGTTCAATGTTTTGGATTTCTTCCTCATACAGATCAATGAGAGAGTCAAGTGGAATGCTTTGAAACTAACTTCATTCTAGCAACAATACTGATTTGGGGAGGGTTGTACATCATGGCGGAAAGTTGATTTCGCATAGTTATGCAGGGTTTTGGTTTTTTTCTAGTTACTCTAGTTCTGCAAAATTGGTACTACTTTCACTGGATATAAAAATCCAATAATCAGTCCCCTAGACATTTTTAGCAACTGTTGTAATGTACTTATTCCTAAATATTGTAAATGCTTGCACTACCTAGCAAAAGCTTAGTTAAAATCTGTTTCTGTTGTAAGACATGGTAACCAGTGCTTACCTGTTACCCAGATTGGAATGAATGAATTACATGAAGAATAACAATTCAGTTATGCTGGGAACTTGTTGAAAATAGACTAATTGAAGCGGAAGAGGAGCTACATATGAAGGAGCAGAACCTTTTGATCTGAAATTTTAAAAATATATACATTATTTCTGAGAATTTCCTGGGTGCAGGAGTTTTTTCGATTTTTTTTTTTTTCCTGGTGTTCACTTCTTATAGAGAAAGAGTCTTTTTTTTTTTTTTTAATTACAAAGCACCATACCTTGATCAACGCACTCTAAATCTGGCACCATTTACAACCTGATTTATCAGTTACTACCCATACAGATTCTGGAGTAGTAGTTTCTCTTAATTATTTTCTCTTGCATATATTTTTTTACAGGTTTTTGGTGCGCTAGCATCGGAACCTTTTAAAGTGAGTGACGGCTTTTATGGTACTGGGGAGACATTTATGTTCACTTTTTCTCCAGATTTTGAGGTAAGTAGTAATTATCTTGTATGCTTTTGCTTTTTTTTCCTCCCTATATACATTATCTTAAAATACTTACTAAGTAAATCTAACAGTAAGTAATCTAAAGAATTCTAAGAGTTTGCCTCAAAAATGCCATTAAACTAGTTTTTTCACGGAAACCGTAAATGCGTGGCAATGTGGTAATGTTTGCATAGTGAAAAATGTATTCAACCTGACTCTTTTGTTGTACTGAAGATTTTTCTACTACTCTAAATTCTGCCCAGTGTCTGTCTGAAAATTGTCAGACTACATCCCTTTAAAGGGCACGTCATCTAACCTAAGCATTTTTTGTGATATTTTTCGTTGTGTAGAAGTTTCAGTGCTCAAAGACAACCTAACTTGGAATAGTTTTATTGTAAAGAGCATAAACTGTAAGAGAATTTTTATCTGCTTATACCTGGTCTCTGAATTTTTTGAGTAATTTGGTAACTTCATTAAATTGGCCTCTAACTACCCATAGTCTGTCTTTACTGATGTGTGATTTCCTATCTGCCCAATCAAAAAGTTCAGATATTTTAACTTCCTAATCTATTTTGAGTATTTTTTTTTTCCTCATTAGGTTTTCAAATGGACGGGAGACAACATGTTCTTCATTAAAGGAGACATGGACTCCCTTGCTTTTGGTGGAGGAGGGTAAGTTATAAATTGATGGGGTTTTTTCATTGGAGTCTGTTAAAAAATTGTATGTCTGCACGCTTTTGAAAAGAAAATTTGGAATTAACTTCGGTTTGATAGCTCAGGACTCAAAAGTTAGCAGCCAAAAAACGATTTAATATCTCAGATATTTAAATTCCTATGCTGAGGAAACTTAAACAGCAGGTTTCTCTTCAGCATAGGATGCCGTCAAGGTAATGGTGCCTTGCCTGCTCTGTTTGTAGGTATGTGTCTGTGTATTCAGAATGGACAAAAGATACTATGATTCTGAAGGTTTTTAAATATGAAAAGTTTATGTAACTAGAATCCTAGAATGGCCTAGGCTGGAAGGGACCTTAGAGATCATTTAATCCAACCTCCCTGTCGTGTGCACTGCACCATCCCAAGTCATGCCAGTGTCTTCTTAAATTATATGTTGTCTTACCCCTTTTTCCCCCATGCAAGTTCATAAGCTCCCAGGATGTTTCTGTTAGTAGTTATCAACATTCTTCTCACATGTAAGAGTACTGTTGTGCCTTTTTGTTAATACAAAATAAAAGGGCTGAAAATTGAGTAATTCTGGACTAGCTCTTCTCTTTCAGAGTATCTGAAAGAAGGATAATACCCAGATTATTAGTAAAATAAGCTTCAGATTTATCAACAGCTATGAGATACTTGTGTTGAAAAATAATTGTGTAATTCCTTCTCATTCCTGATTTCTCAATTAAAAAAATGTTTATAATTGTAATGTTTACTCCCTCAGTTTTTTGCTTTAATGCATTGTCTGTCTTACAGAGGGGAGTTTGCTCTTTGGCTCGATGGTGATCTCTACCATGGAAGAAGTCATTCGTGTAAAACATTTGGGAATCATACACTTTCTAAGCAAGAAGACTTCATTATTCAAGACATAGAAATATGGGCTTTTGAATGAGCATTTAACTATTTCTACAGGGTATTGTCCCAAACCTGACGTGAATCAGTACAGCTCAAAAATCCCTAGGAGCAATACAATGCACCATTTTATCGTTCTAGGTTTTTTTGTAAGTTTTCAGCATGGCCATCTAGTTATTTTTTTTAAATAACAGGTTTCGTTTTGTAATCTCACATCTGTAATGTACTGTCCTCCTTTTTCTAAACTGTAGACACTTTTACAAATTATAGACCATGTGGACTAAAAACTAACATGAGTTACTTCAAGCATTGCAGCCCACAGAGTTTTCTTATCCTCACTACACTTGCCTCCCAAGTTTCCCACACACGCCTTTCTGCAATCCTGCTAGGGGGCTGCTTCACTGAATATAGGTTATTATTTTTGTATGCAAATTAAGTCTATGAATGAAGTTGCCCTCTGAATCTATAGAAGAAGAAAGCTGTGTGTGGGTATTTGGCAGCGGTACAGCAGAGATTGGTCTGGACCAACGATGGATTAATTAATTCATATGGTGCCACAAAGAGATGGGGAGCCTGGCGTTCCCTCTTAACATGTACCAGTGCACATGTGGTGAAGTTAGAAGATATCCAAAGTCAACAGTGCCACTGTCTTGTTCATCATTCGTGTTTATAAAGCAGTCAGTTAATACATGTTCTAGCTGCATGCTGATTGTATTAAAGAGTGTTTTGCACATGCTGTTAATGATCTGCAGGTTTGGGACAAATACTGACAACGTGACTACTGAGCTACGTGGCAAGGACTTACAAAATAGCAAGGGAAATTAAGAACATGATAGTTCCACGAAACGAAATGACTGAAGCAGGCAAAACTCGGTGAACCATTTGTAGCTATAGCAGGGCATTAAAAGTACAGAAACAGATGCATCTTTCTTCAACATAAAATGTCAGATATATACTGTTCTACTGTTGTAGCCGTGTAGCACATCACCTCCAAGAATATAGCTTATTCCTGTCCAAAGACAAAAATAGTTGTGATGTTTTTGAGTGGGTCTATGTTGTAAATTTACAGTTAGCACCAGCTCTGAATAAAATGAGATAATGTACTATAGGTAGACAATATCGTAATTCAGTAGACTCGTGGAATATGCAAACTTACTGTCATGTGACCTCAAAAAAATGACAGGCTAGAATACAGTTCCAGTAGCTCTTGTCCACTTTTGTAGGAAAATTTATAAGCCATTGTGGCAATAACAGCTCAACAAAACTGTTTGTTTCAAAGCTTTTATTCTATGTTCTGCAAAAACAAAACCACAAAAAAACAAACAAAAAAATTGCTGTTAAGTGTGACAGTGACTGACTTTGTGCTGAAATTTCAGCTATTTCAGATGAACATTGTATATTATCTTGTAAATTAATGTTTAAAGTAGTTTTGTTATTATAGAAAAGTGTTGATTGACGGGTTGCTTTTCGCACTTTAAATTATTCTAGAAATGAAATAAAAGCCAAATGGGTTGGCTTAAGTAGATGTAGTTGTATATTATTTCAAAATATTTACATCTCTGGAAGGTTTTAAAAACTTATTTGAAGACAGCTTACTGCTATGGTAATGAGAAAGGGCAGATGTTTCATCTATAATATGCTAATGCTCCATATGAATAGAAATTCAGGGCTTTGTTTCCTGTCTCTATGTATAGCTCTTTATCCTTATTAGAACTTAGTACAATGTGTAGACTAAATGTTTACAAAATAAGGAACTGTAAATACATTGAAATGGCTTTTCTCCCCTTTGGTCTTCCACAGCAGTATTATTGTCTTTGTGGAGTTAAGACTGACTATTACAACAACAACAACAAAATCCTGTAATGGATTTTAAGTACTATAAGGTCACAGTGATGTATAGCAAATAAATCTAAATATATGTAAAAATAAACTTGAGTTGGAGTTTATTTAGGAGTTGAATTTTACTTTAAAGCACAAATGCTGATTAGTGCTGTTCATTTAATAACTTTACTGAATATATAGGATGTATTTGCTCATCTTTTGGGGGATTTTTGGTTTTTGAAAGCCCAGTGGGAAGTGGCGAGAGTAAAATATGCTATCTTCAGCCATTTTCAAGAGGAAAAAGGAAAAGATGTCTCAGATTATCCTTGCTGAGAAAACCCATAAGTTCAAATGCTTAGTCTCTATCCTAAGCTCATATTGCAAATAAAGTCTATGTTAGATTTTTAAATGCTTTATAAAGAATTATACTTTGAAGAATTACAGAAAAGCACAGAGAATCTTCAGTAGCTGAAGGTCTTTCAGTATTGGCCCAGTCTTGGAAAGGCACATGGGGAGGAAAAAAACAACCTGGAAGTCATGAAACAGGATAGTAAGCCAGTACATCGTGCTTGTATAAAGCCTGAATTAGCTATGCAGAGGAAAGTCATCTGAGTTAAAGTATAAATGACTGTGCTAACACAGTGATGTGACTAGCTGTGTAAAGGACCCAAAGAGAGTAATACATGTGTATTAATGAAAGACCATAACTTCTGTTCGCAAAAGGCGTAGTTAACTTCTGTATGACACACATAAGAGACTGTATAGATGAGAACAAAAGAGACTGTCTTGATATACCTCTTGCCTTCAATTCAGTATGAATATTCTGAAGTATGATTCCATCTTTCCTGTTAAGGTTTGCTTCTGTGACTGCAAAGAGTTGATGTTTGACATACGCTGAAGGCTTTCTGAGCTACCTTTTGAAAGAGTTTGATGCCATAGAACTCAGACTCAGAATATAGTTCTTGGATGTATTTATTGGCTAACTTGATGTTTTGCCTCATCTTCCAGGTCTAAATCTTATCTATGTTACTGCTTTTTTGTATAGTTTGCAAAAAAAATGTGGTTTCTCATGCATGGCTTGTGCTTGCATCCTTCTGCTCACCTATATTAGACTTTTTTTTTCTTTGGTATGGAAGTTAGCATGTCTACATAAAATCCAATCTTGGAAGAGGAGTAAAACCACTTATTTTCAAATTTAAAAAAAAAATCTTGATATGGATATTCCTCAGTAGGGGGGAATTCAAGTAGGACTTGAATCTTAAATCTCACTTTTATATTCTTGCTTTGTAGAGGAATGCTTTATCAGGATCTTTTGCTACCATCACAGGAATAGGGAGCTCGGTTAAGGGGACAAACCTCCACTCTTTCTCGCCTTAGGAGTACATGCTACTGCAATAGGGAAGAGCTACACTGTAGGGCTGGACCAGAGAGAGAAAGTCCAGCTGTATGAGGGATGTACACTTATCCTTAGTGTCGCATGTACAAACCACAGTGGTTGTGCTGGCTGTCCCACTGCAGCATCACCAGCGTAGGGTGATGTGGCAACAGGGCTGGCCAATACTTGTTCTGCGATCAGTGATGATCTTACACTTTCCACTGCAGCTAACTGCATTTCAGTAGCCTTTTTTTTTTATTTTTGTGGGTTTGGGTTTTTTAAAAAAAAAGAAAAAGAGCTGTAATACTGAACCCTGGCTGTACAGAATCATTTTAAAGAAGGAATTACTGCGCTGGACGAGAGAGCTGATTTCCAGTGGGTGGGATACACATCCAGTGAACCATCAACTTGCTTCAAGCCACAGCAGCAAGTATTGTAAGACTTGGAAAAAATACAAAGGTGTGAAAGTCAAATTTATTTCTTCTGATACAAATTCCATGCTGTCCCTTACCATGTTAGAAGGGGAGTAGCTAGTAGGTCGAGAGAGGTCCTCCTGCCCCTCTACTCTGCCCTGGTGGTGCCACATTTGGAATATTGTGTCCAGTTCTGGGCCCCTCAGCTCAAGAGAGACAGGGAACTGCTTGAGAGAGTCCAGCGCAGAGCCACAAAGATGATGAAGGGAGTGGAACATCTCCCTTAGGAGGAAAGGCTGAAGGAGCTGGGTCTCTTTAGCTTGGAGAAGAGGAGGCTGAGGGGTGATCTCGTAAATGTTTATAAATATGTCAAGGGGCAGTGTCAGGAGGATTGAGCCCAGGCTCTTCTCAGCGATGTCCAATGACAGGACAAGGGGCAATGGGTACAAGCTGGAACATAAAAGGTTCCAAAAAATATGAGAAAAAACTTTTTCACTGTGAGGGTGACAGAGCACTGGCACAGGCTGCCCAGGGAAGTTGTGGAGTCCCCTTCAAAACCCATCTGGACGTGTTCCTGTACGATCTACTGTAGGTGATCCTGTTCTGGCAGAGGGGGCTGGACTAGATGATCTTTCGAGGTCTCTTCCAACCCCTGACATTCTGTTATATTCCGAATGTACCTTTCATGCATAAATGTACCTCAGTTCCTACAGCGAGGAGATGAGTTTTGTGATACCAAGCAAGGAACTATGCTTTCCTGGCAAACTTCACAAGCCTCAGACAGGAAAGTGAGAGAGATACATTACTTAACAGAGGAAATCTGTTTAAAATAAAGCATTTGGAGGGCGAATACAGTATTTAAGAAAATCACATAAAATTGTAAACTACAACAAGTTGCTCGCCCATCCTCTGAAAGGTTAAAAGGTTTTATTTCTGAAGCAAATCAGAAATAGGAAAGCAAATTTTTATTTAAAATCTATGAATCATAGAATGGCCTAGACTGGAAGGGACCTTAGAGATCATTTTAATCCAGCCTCCCTGTCGCCAGGGACACCACCTCTCGACTAGATGGGGACATGGGGACCGAGCATAGGAATGTAAGAGTTAAAATGTAGTAGAGATTGCAATTTATGGATATTTTATGGACTACTTTTGTTCAGTTTTTTAATAATTCAGATTTACTTACCTACCTTGCATGCCTAAAATTGTCACGTCTTTATGTAAAAAACATTATAAAAACATATAAGCTACACAAAACACTTCCATACATTATAAATTATATCAATATTTAATATTTCTATTGCATGAAACCCTAAATACTTTTCACAGTTTCTAAGCTGAACTAAAGAAATGAAGACAAGGAGAGATTTAATGAGGTCTTGTGAGCTTGAAGGCTCGTCTTTTTTAGCCCTCAGATGTCAGTTGATCTAATGTTGCCTTTCCCTAAACTTGTAATCTTGCTTTTACCCTATATGATAAGTGGTAAGTATAAATGTCTGGGTGTTCCAATATGCAAGAAGACGTCATTGTTTCTATGATTCCATTAGCAGCAAAAGGAGGGTTAACCATCTTTTGTTGGGTATGGGGGGAAACAGGTGATTCTGTTCTGTGTTCTGTCAGCTAAATGAAATGTTGAGATACAAGTACAGTGTCACTGGTCTGCTCTGTTGCTGAATGTGTTTGAGTAAAAGTTGCAGAAGTTCAGTTCTCTCTATGTTTAATGAAGGAGAAAATGCAAAAGTAACCTATCTCCTTTGTCATACAGTTCAGCTGAGAAGTTTGCCCTGCAGCGTAGTCTGTCCTTGCCTGTCTTATCCTCAGTAATAGTATATGCATTAAATGGAACTGTTAAAGCCTACTCTTGTCCTCAGTGATTTCTAGTGGGCTTACAGGAGCCTGCAGAAAAGTCAAATGTCAATAATCTGTTGCTCACAAATACATAACATAGGTGTAGATATGTCTAAATTTCAGACATTAAGACTAGGTCAGGAGCAATTGGTGCCTTCAGTTCGAATGCTTAACTTGCCCTAATGAACTGGAGGAAGATGATTGCATTAGAGAATGCCAGGAGATTATTCAGTCCAAGTCAGGTGTCTGCCTCCCTGCATCGTATGGGGAAGAGCAGGAAAAATGCTAGAGCTAAATCTGCCAAGTTGTTGACAACAGTTTGCTGCCTTCCTTTAATGTAACGAATTCTTCATTAGAAGCAATGCTCAGCAAGTAGAAGACAGAGTAGAAGAGGCACTGCACCCTTCCATGTTGCTATCAAACAGGTAGAAATAAGTGGGGAAAAAAACAGAGTTACTCAGCAGTTCCTACAGGCTACGTTGTTGGCTCAAGGCCGAAGCCAGGAAGGGGTTTTTTTTATTCCTACTTCACCAGTACGTGCCTGTTTATGTCCAGGTGTTTCCCTGAAGGTGATGTAACAGATGGCATAGACTTCATATCAAAGCACAAGCTCTTATTACGTGCTGTAAACATGCAAAATATTCTGTGTTTGAGTGTTGCACTACAAAACTCTTATCACTTCTACTTCTTGGGTCAGTGAATGAAAGCAGATGCATATGATTTCTCATACAATGGTGAGGTGCTCTTGGGATTTAAGTTGTACGTCAGCATAACACTGAATAAAAGATCTGTGGTGAACTCCCTACTGTGTTGTCCTGTGGTAGGATGTGAGTTCTCATGAGCAGAAACACACAATTCCCTTAACATGTGCCTTTGGTGTGTATTCTTTGTGCAAGTATTTTGTACATAAGGACTGTTTTATTTCCACGTATTCTGAAATCTTGGTCTGGTGCTTTGGACAGAGAAGCCTTCGCAGGTAAGTATTTTAACTGCCTGGGGAAGGGGCAGTATACTTCTGTTTTGAAACAACTTATGTTTTACTTCATAGATACGCATGCCTATTTCTTCTCTAGTGTGTAGGAGGAATAACCCAAGAAATAATCAGTTAAGGGTTTTATTTATATTTCATGTATTCCTTTGACAACCAAATTTCCTTAAAACAATTTAGATGGCTGTAAAGGACATCATATAAAGGCATAAGAAGGTAAGAATATGCAGGTAAGTATTATGATATGTAAGTAGTATGCTTAGACGTCAGTTTTGCAGGTCAGCTTGAGTAGTCTGAGACCATTGTTAAACAAGTTCCACTGAATGCAGCTTATAGTTATTTTTTTTCTTCCTTAGATTCACAACATGTAACTGTGCCTAAAGTATTAATTATTTACATAGCCTTATGATAGACATAGTAATCAGTTCTTGTATCATTAACTTATAAAATATTTGATGTATTGATTCAATAGAGCTTCAAACTGGAGTACCTGTACTCTCATAATAAGATAGCAATGCTTGTTTTATCACAGAGATGAGATAGTCATACATCTTTTCTTCTGTAAGAAGATATTTGATCTTTCAGTTTGAAAGAATCTTATGGGGAAAAACCACACTTATTTTTGGTTATACAAATTACGTGCCCAGACATCTTGCTCCAAAACAAGTGCTTTTCATGTGAAGCGCCCCTTTTTACCAGGATAGCTGTTTTTACAGTAGTAGTTTACAGAAACAGCGATCTCTATAATCCAGTAAGCATTATAGACTTTACCGAGGTCTCAGGTGATACAAACAGGTTCAAGACCTAGAAGCCTTAGTTCATTACCGTTTGCTCCTCTTCAGCGTCACCTGGATTGAAATACATTATTTCAGTCACATCAGAATGGTTCAAATGGTAAATGCTATAGAATTAGGCCAGCATTCCTGTGTAGTATGAAACACCATTTTCCTTGAAAGTTAGTTGATTTTAATTACAAATGCTGTTTCTGTATCTTTTCTGACAGAGGTACATTTCAGTGGAAAATGCTGATTGTAGTCACATTGTTGCTATACACAACAGTATAAGTACCTGTTTTGTTTGTTTTTTTCACATTACTTTTCCCTGTGTTTATAAAAACCATATTTACATAGAGAGATGATACATTGCACAACATTGTGTAAGAGGTATTTCCTATGTAGCTGGCTATTCAAAAGCTTGTTGTGTTTTATATTCTATTGGGTGTTTTCTCTCCAGCATGAATAACTCTAAATATGAAACTATCTAATAAATTAGTTATATAAATACATTAAATATAAAACCTCATTTATAAAAGGATTTTGTCTTTATATGTGATATGTAAGAGAAAGCTGTGTTAATAGTTGCCACAAGATAATACTGCAGTTGTAGTTGCATATCCAAATTGTAACAGAAACAAGTGTGTTATCCTTGATTCTGTGTTTAAATAAAACTATTTTACATGCATTTAAATAAATTAATTGGGAAATAACTGCACAAGATCACTTTCACAAATTAAAAACTTGGTCTGAATTTCTACTGTAATTCAGCTTCTGATTTGTCATGGTTTATATTCCTGATACCCCAGTTTAAGTAGTTGGGAAGATCTTGAATGTAAGAACAAGTAAAAATTGGAACTAATTTATAGCTATAGATTACTATAGATTTTTATAATTAGCTGATTATATTCAATATAGATTTTTTTTCTTTTTTTTCCCACGTCCTAATTAACTGAAGTATCCTGCAAGCTCTCCTGGCACAGAGAAAAATCCATTTGGATGCGTGTGTTATCATACAGCAGTTAAAAATTACATATTTAGAAAAATGCTCAATGTCTTTTCTGTGTGGGTGCCTGGGGAGAATCTTGTATTCAAAATGTGCAAATGTTGATAGCAAGGGAGAAATGGAGGTTTTCCAAAACAAGTTGTTCTTGTTGTAGCACACTTATTTTAATAAGGTAATTATGACATTGTCATCCCTTCCTTGCCATAACATTTCTCCTTCAAAGTCCACCAACCCATGTTTCCTGGCTCTCATGAGAATCCCAACCACCTTATCCGAAATACGAACGTATCTCTCAAAGAGTTCCCCGAAAGTGACTTGGATCTTGCCGTCGCGCCGCGGCTTAGCCATTGATTCGATGATGAAGCACATGTCCCTAATCTCCCGGTGGATATGGGCCTCGGCTCTCTTGGCCCTTTCAGCAGTTTTGGTTCCTTCTTTTGGACGGCCGTAGCCTTCATCTCCTTTGTGCAGGCGTGTGGACATGGCCAGCTCATGGTCAAACTCCTCGCTGAAGGGATTCAGCTTCTGTGTCATGATGTGCTGGTCGGCCCATTCTTGCCACCTGTCCTTCAGGCTGTTGATGGGGCTGTGTTTCCTGCGGGACTGGGAGCGTGCTTCTTCGCTAAACCTGCTTGCGCTGCAAGAAACAAAAAAGGCGTTGGAGCTTTGCATGTCGTCATTTAATTACACGGCTCTGCTACTTACCTTTTCTCTTGACTTGGTTACCTTGCTTTTCCAGACGAGATGTGAACCACCAGGTGGCACGAGTTCACTACTTCTATATTAGTCCTTTGGGAGCTTTTAGTACTTGTCGCAGTTTGCATTCAAAAGCAAAGCTGCTTTCATGGCTTGATCTCATCTATGCTGCCATCCCCCAGCCTAGATTTGAGCCCAGTTTGACCAGCTTTTGCCCAGAATGTCTTAATTCTATATAGGAGTGAAACAGTATGTTGCTCTTTGCCCGCGCTTTCTATGCCTTTGGTCAGTCACGCAGCTCCCCATTTCTGCCTGCCTCGCATCCACCTGCCTTGATATGTGTGTGTGGTCTGGGTCCTCAGCTGTTCTTGACGGAGGAACAGAGGGTAGTGCCCACAAAAATCTGTCCCTTGTGATAGGTGTTGATGTTTACAACAACACAAAAAACCTGATAAGAGTGCAGTAGCTCTGCCTATGCTTATTTATTTTAAGTATGGTTCTGAACAAGTATTGAAGTCCAGAATTCACATTTCCACTGGCAGGGTACAAGCCTGAAGGAAACTTAGGGCTACTAAGATTTCTATCAAGGTCAAAGGATGATACTGATTTATTATTCCTTTTGTGTGCGTGCGTGTGTGTGTGTGTGTGCGCGTGTGTGTAGCAGCATCATATTGCAGACAGATTGCTGATGCGCTTTCCTCTAGTGGCCAATCTCACGTGTTGTGGAGGAGCTATAGATAGTCTGAGCTAGTCTTTGTGCTGTCCACATCCTGTCATTATGTCTGTACAGAGCTCGGCTAGGGAGTATGTTGTGCAGTGCCAAAGTAATTTGTTTTCTAATAATACTTTTACTCCCCAGAAGGCTGCTCAGAAAGCTCCCCAGTAATGTCAGACGAATATTAATGGTAATACCAAAGAATAAAAATACAGTTAGAAAAACAGTACAAGGGACTGCAAACCTGCAGAAAATTTTTATTCCCTGCTGTTTGGCCATTGTGTTGTTTTCTACTAAGCTTGTTCAAAGAGAAAATAAGAGTGATAGACGTTCCCAGTTCAGGTCTGGGCACCATAAGGATGCCAGTACTGGGCAGCACTAGAACAAGAAGTGTAGGCGATTAGTGCCAGGGGTAGAAGAAGGAGTAGGGGAGCAGGACCAGTCTTTTAGCTGTGGAGTTGATATTAGCTTCGCTTAGCTCTGGTAAGAAACTATTTAAAAGTCTCCAAAATACTTTTCCCTGTCAACACAGTGAAAAGCATCAGAAGAACTGAGCATGTAGTCTTGCCAAATAATGTACCTTGCACCTTTCTTCTGTGGTGTGACTGCAGAGCATCATAAGAGTAGGAAGCATGTATGTAGCTGTGGTTTTGTGTGTGTGATTAGCAGGTTGGTGTTGACAAGGAAAGCATTAAAATATATCACTGGTGTAAAGGTAAACCATTTTGTTTTCCAATGATAAACCAAATTCTTCTCTATAGAAGATGTTGCTAAACAGAGGAAGGAAAAGCTGTGATCATTCACCTCTTCCCCTTCATTACCCAGAGGAATTGTGGGCATGAGGTTTGGTTGGGCAAAGCAATTCATCTCCTGAAACCTATGGATCTCCCAAAGGCCATAGAAACACTGTGCCAGTGCCATCTGAACTCCAGATGAAGTTTGGATTGATTGCTTCCCTAACTCTTAATGGAGGAAGGTATCAGTGAAAGCAGGGAGAAAACCCTAAGTGAATCAAAATTGCCTGGATGAAATGATATCAACAGTCTCAGTGGAGCTGAAGAGTAGATACCATCATGGAGGGCTTATCCTTCAGCCACTGCCAGCTCTTCCCCCTTCTCTCTGAGGACCATGACCCCTGAGAATGCCCTGGAGCTTCAATACAGCGGGTTGAGAAGAAAGAAGACAGCGAGTGAGATAGCATAACTCTGTAAAGCCTTTGTTACCTCTTTTTTTATTTAACAATTTAACAAGTGTTCTCTCCTTTTTCTACTCAAACCCCTTTAATTCTCTTTTCTAGCTGAATGCTGTTATCACCTTCCTTATCTGAATCATCTCAGTGGTTGAGGAAAACACCATCTTGATCCACCCTTTTCCTTTGATTGTGCCCTGAGTAGTTTGGAAAAACCTTAATGTTATTATCTCTTTTTTTAAAGACATCTTCTAATTTCACTGGTGGCTGAAGTGCAATTTTCCCCATTGTCTAGCTTAGTGCAGTAGACTTCATACACGTAGAAGCATTTTTTCATGTTTATACCACATCTAGACAATGGATTGTGGGTTTGAAGCAAAGGTTGTGAATGTTAACCCACTGTAAAATGTTTTACCTGTAATGGCTATTTGAGTTAACCTGTTAACCAGAATGGTCACGCTAAATGCATTCTGAACTTCCAGGAGGACAGTGCCCATTTCACAGAATCACAGAATTGCTGAGGCTGGAAAAGCCCTCTGAGATCATCAAGTCCAGCCCATGACCCAACACCATCACATCGACCTGACCAGGGCACTAAGTGCCACATCCAGCCTCTCTTTAAACACCTCCAGGGACGGTGACTCCACCACTTCCCTGGGCAGTGCATCCCAATATCTGACCACGTTCCTTCTGATCCCTTCTGCAGAGAATGGGTATGGATCCCATTTTAATGTTTTGAGTTTCATATCACTTGATATGCAACTTGAGTTGCATCCCTTTTGGCTTCTCAGCAAGAATGAAATAGTTTTTTGCCTGCCTATAGAAGTTACTGTACATTCTGCTAAGGAAAGAACATTATTCCAGCAAATATTGCAGCTGGAAATGATGAAGGTGCTGATGTGAGGGGAAAAATACTGGCACTAGTGCTTTTTTTCTGGAACATAGAAAGGAAAATGGGAGATTTGCTTTAACAATCATCCACTTCTGGCCTTTTTGAAGAAGATTAAGTCACACTGAAAGGTTCATAAAAGCAGCAGGCTGAAATAAGGTATTCTGAGGCTATGAAATAAATTTTAAAAAATTAGTAGTTAAAAGATCCAGTCCTGATAACAGCACTATAAACACAGAAAATTACTTTTGTGTCAAATTTCAGTGGAAGAAAGAGCTGTAAGTAACATAGAGGGTGTTCTTTCAATCATTTGCACCTTCATAAATATGACTAGGCTTGGGGGGTTTTTCTAGGTAGCAGCACTAAAATTCGACACCTGGAGAAGAGTTTAACAGGAAGATAGATAACCGTGTTTCTACTATAGCATTTTTAAAAGTACACAATTTATTTTAATTGAGATTATTCACAGGCAATATCTGCTGGAATGTATCTTCTTTCCCCACCATTCATGTGAAAACTTTGACTTCTTGTCAAAGGACCATGCACACATACAGTCTCTCCCAAAAGCGAGGGTCACAAACCTTCAAGCTCTGGATTGCAGGAGAACTATTTTTTTCATTTTGGTTAGTAACTATTTTTTCCTTGTGGGAGATGACTGGTTAGCTGTACAGCAAAACATCATTCTAATCTAAAATTTAGAAGTTAGAATAGCTGTGTATGCTAAAAAGTACCTGGATGGTTGAAATCTGTGACTACATTACTCGTAGTCTAACGGTGGTCATGGTAAATGTTCCTCAGTGATGTAAAACCTGAGCAGTAGGAGTGGTAGACCCTGCCTGCCTTTTTGCTGAAGCATCACAAGGTCTATTTTGGCATTCGCATGCCTCCTCCTGCTGCTTATGATAGTATACCCATAGAGAGACTTTGCAATTGAAGAAATTGTTGATGATTCTTTGACTTGAAATCCAAATCCATGGGAAGCTTCCAAAAAGGAGCAGGGAACTCAGCTTTTGTTAAGATGTATCTAAAGGTAATTCCTGCAATGTCTATTTTGGACTTTCTTTGCAAATTACTTCTTAAGAACATGTGCAATTTATACTAAGCAAAATAATTGACAAGTATTTGGAAATATTAAAGTACATTACTTTAGACTTTGCATCAGATGAAATAAATGAATAGCTATGGGCTCTTGATGAGGTGAAAGGTTTTAATCTGAAATTTAGACTAGAGCATTAAGAAGTAAGTAGGCATTTTGATGACCCAGTAAATCCAGAAAATTCAATATCATTAACATTTCCCAGATATAACTTCTCATGTCTATTAAGTATATAGCACAGAACCTAAGGGTATAGTCAGATAACTTAGAACGGAGAGATATATGAAAGAATGTCTGAATTTTTTTTTTTCCTTCAAGAGTAATAGTTTTTTGATCATTTCCTGCTAATTTTATTTTCCCCTTCTTCATCATGAAAACCTGTACACATCTCTGGCTCTGCTGACCATTTATGTTACTGTAATAAAGGTGTTTTACTTACAAAGACAGTGCAGGTCGTTTAATCCTCACAGCCATCACCTCTTGATCAGTGTCTTCTTGCTCAAGTTTGTCCTCTGCTTCCCCGTAGCCACTGTCTTCTGCATCCAGGCTGTCATCACGACACCTAAGCAGCAGCTCTTCCTTAGCCCCCTCTTTGTCCGCTTCTTCCATCTGTTTCCAGCCCTTGGTCAGCTCTGATACCATGTTTGAACACTTTCTTCTTATAGTTGGAGATAATTTGCCACAAAGAATTTTGTCAATAGCATTTGATTCTTCTTTGAGCTTGGTCATCTCTGAGCTATTATTGTTATTCTCGTATCTTCCACTGAGGAGGCTCACATCACCTCCTCGTTCGTAGGCTTTGCTTACAACTGTTTTGGTCACCTCTTTGCTTTTAATGCTGAACTTTTTGAGGGCTTCATCTGATTCACGTGCATTTTTTTCCACATCTCTTAATGTCATTGATTCCTTTGCAGAGGATTTTTCATCATCTTTTCCTGGTTCCCTCTTGACAGATGGAATAGGACATTTTTCAAAGGGTCTTTCTTCTGTAAGCTGAGGTTTTGAGTCTTCTGCAGAGGGGGCCCATCCAGAGGGCTCTTGGGCTTGCTTTACATGGTGGTCAGATGCCCACTGCTGCCAGCCTTTTGCCAAGCTGAAGACTAGGCTGGCCATTCGGATCTTGTGGACAGCTCTTTTCGCAGGAGTAGTGCTCGTCTTTTCGTCAGGAGCCATGTTGCTGTCTGCTGCCATGCTGCCTTTCCCCCTTCTTATGCTAAGCACCTTCTGAATGAACTTCCTGAAGTGAATAATGTCCCCCGAAGAGAGCTACAGAGATTTAAATAGAAGCAGGAGCGGTTTGTGCCCATGGAAACTATGTGAAACACTTCTCACAAAGATATAGTATCCTCACTATTACGGAGGTCTTTTTTTAAAACGCAGGATTGCATTTCATCATGGCAGATGAATGATGCATGATGTAAACAGGATGACACAGACCTGCACTGGAAATAGTGGGAAAGTAACAGCTCCTTCAGTCTCCCTTCCCTGGGACTGCTCAGTTCTCAATTTGTTGGCAAGGATCTTGCTCTTCTGGAAGTGCAGAACTTGGGTTAGAGACATTGAACGGTGTCTGAAACTGCTAAATGTGAAATGCTGTCAGTCACTGGCAACTTTGGCCAGAACAGAGAAACCCTCGTCAGCACGAGCAAATAGTGGCCTTCATCATGGTGTGTAAAGCCCAAAGCAGGCTATGAATGAGACATTTTTAGATGCATTTTCTAAAACGACACCAGGCGATTTCTTCTTATTGCTCATATGTCCAAGGAAATGAAGGTTTGTTAATTTTTTAAAAGGTATTTATGTGCTCTGTTCTCAGTCATTATCTATTAATGTCCATCTATTCAGAAAGTACCTTCAGGGGGGTCAGGGAACACTATCGTGTTTGGTGTTAGTGCTAGGGATGAGAGAATATCTAGTCTAGGGATTAACATAGTAAGTCTGACTTGATCAGATAGATGAACGATCGCCTAGCTTAGGATTTTGAAAAAAAACTCTACTTAATTTCTGACTGCTTTTCAAGAAAGTTGCCTATCAACTTATTTTTACCTGTGTATTATTTCCAGCACAATTATGTTTGCTATGTACAGTAGAGAAAACATCAGATTTCCTAGGAAAATCTGTGATTTCTTCATTCCACAGGACTTCCACGAGTTTGTTCATGTTTGAATTTGTAAAATGAATTGATACATCAGTTGTTACATAGTAATAAACAGACATTTTCTGAAGTACAGTCCTATGGGATCTTGTTTCTTAGTATAATATTTCTTAAATAGGAATGGAAAATTTTTCCATCCATCATACCTTGCAGTTTACAGGATGACCTGTGGCACTTGCCATGTGCACACTGAGGCTCACTGAACTTCAAGGAATTCTGTTGGCTTCATTAGCATTACACCAGAGATAAATATAAACTCTTAGTACTCTGCCTTTTTCTCCTCTCTCTGTTAAAGGCCGGGCTGTTTCAAGTAGGTTAGATCATAGCTAGGACTCATTTAATAATATAAGACTATATCATACCTTTGACTTGTAGACAGAAGTTCTCATTAATCTGTGGGTCATTTCCTCTTCAAAACTGATGACATAGTGTAAGTTAGTCTGGCTGTTAGGTATTTACTCATACTTTTATTTTAGAAAGCAACGTGTCACCTCTGTGTACTGTACAATCTCAGCTACAGCATTGTGAGGTGAATTGATGGAACTTGGTAAAGAATCATGTTAGCCAACATTTATTCTGGTGGCATTTTAAGGCTAATCAGGAATGGGAGCTTCTTGTGTTTAAAAAGTATAATGGTGTGTGTTCCCTAATATACAAGTAAGACGTGAGTGCAAGAAGACAATAACGCACACGCAGAATAGCACTATGACACCAGCTCATTATATTATTGCTTGTGATTTCTTGGATATAAGGGTGGCCAATGCTTTAGAAATGAGCTAGAAAGGCTGTTTGGAGCTTTGGAAATGAGCTGAAAGCTAAACACTGAGGTATGGTGTGAGGCCAGGGAAGGACTGCAGTGAAACTCTACTGACTGTGGAAGGATGATCATGGAGCGTAAGGCCAGTAGGGACCCCTGCTTTAAGGTAGGGTCAGCTCCACCTGTATATGTCCAGGTTCCCTGTTCTACCTCTTCTTACAGATTGCCAGCAGTAGATGATCTGCACTCTGCTTAAGCAATCTGTTCCAGTGGTTAACTGACTTAACTGAAACCTCTTCTGTTGTCTAACATCCACCTTTGTCACAGCTCGTTAAGCCTCTCTCACTGATGAGAAGAGACAAATCCTACACTTTGAGGCATCCTTTTTTTGTGAAGATGGCTGTATTCCTCCTTAGACTTCTAAACAACCCCACTTCTTCCCAACTTTTCTTGTGTTTTCATAATATTTGATCACGCTTTTGCCAGCGTGCTCCATGCTAGCTCCACATCTTTCTTCAAGTGTGGTGCCCAAACCAGGAATGGTATTCCGGTTTAAGCTTGCCCATAGTGTGGAAAAGGAACAGATGTTTTGTATGTTGTGCTCCTGGTTAATTTTCTAATTGTAATCCCCAAAAGTTTCCAAAGATTTTCCTGCTAAATGTCTACTTGTATTCACAGAATGGACTGTCCCTTCATATGTGACCATCTTTGTTGTTCTTAGATTGGGTTCTAAATCGTTCATATAACCTTTTCAATTTGATTTTTAATACTTGTTCCAGTGTTTCTGCAGTTCAATTCATGTTTCATAAATGTTCTGTCTCTTCCACTTTTGAACTCATAAATGAAAACAGCAAGTAAAGTAGACTCAGTTAATAAGGACATTCAGTTTGATAGATAAATATTACTATTTATTTTCATATGTTTTTCCAGTTAATTTTTTTGCTATTCAAATTTAGCACATGAGATCAAAATAAAAATCCTGATTAATATCAACATGTGTAGCATCTGGTGCTCTTGCCATCTTTAGAGGTTGAAACAGATGACCTCCGGCAATCCCGTCCAACATCAACTATTCTGTGATCTTCCAAAGCCTGCAACTTTACTGTAAAAAAGAACTGAGATTGGTTTAATATAATTTGTCAAATCAAAATTGCTTGTAACTGTCCTTGTTACAAAGGCCTTTGCTAGGTTTATTACTGCAATTACTGTTGAGGTTCTTGGACATTTTTACTCTCATATAGTCATTGTGAGCAGTTGTGTTGAAATTCGTGGCACTAAAAAAGAATTATGTTCCTGAGGAATGTTTGGAAATTGCAGCACAAAGAGCTTGTTAATAAAGAGACTTTTTCTTTTGTAATGGATTTGACCTTGGTATACCTGATCATAGTCCCATGATCATGTTTAGATAAATAAAAATGAAAAGTTACAGACTAATGAAAAGAATCAAGTTTACAGATCTAAACTGCTGTTAAATCCACGTTAAACAACAATATGTTACATAAAAGTTTAGTTTAAATTGGTCACTATTTTGAGATCAAGTTATAACATCACAGAGTTGTCCAAAGTGACAGTGAAATTTTAAGATAAGTATTCTGAAGATAACTAAATTTATGATGCTTAATTTTAGGATGTGCAGTAATGTTGCCTTGGAAGTGTTGGATGGTGCCTTATTTTATATGGTGATGTTAATCATAAAAAAAGTATAAATAATGTCTGAGTCATCCAGTCAGATTCTTACTTTAAGGGTTACTTACTTTACAAATGTTTTACTGCACTAAGAGTAGCATTTATTACTTCATGGTTTTTATTCTTAGTGGAATAATAGGCCAAGGCTACACCTAAGTTTCTGTGCCTTACATCTAGTGGCACTTCTAAAAGCTGATAGAGAACTCTTAGGGTGCAGGTATGTTTTAGTCTGAGCCTGGACCATGTTTTCTGTGTCTTCCATATCTCAGAAGGTCACAAGATAAACCAATGCAAGGCTTGGTGAGAGTGACTGTGTCATGGACTTTCAGAAGATCTAAAACTACACTTGAAGTCAGAGCTGAGGGACCATTCCTTGCAGAAGAAATTGGAGCAAGTAAATAGATGAGCAGGCTTGACACTTAGGTTGAAAGTTGTAAACTCCCTTCTCCTCGCCCCTGTCTGCCTACAGTTCTGGGATTTAATCTCTGACACCTTAAGACAAGTCTGCACATGTTCCTATGACCTTGTTGCTGCTTTTGGAATGCTGCATTTCACTTAATACCTGTTAATACCTTCCTGAAGGACGAGCTGAGTGGCTGCCAATACCAATGTTAAATGTTGGGATGCTTTTATTCTGTGGGGCCTTTTTTCCTGGGTGTATTATTCTCTATACTTACATACTATTTAAAATCCTATCTTTTCTCTCATGCTGTGGAATATTAACAGTCTTTGGAAGACCAGTTTGTCATGATTTTTTTTTTTACCCTTCATCCATTACTTTACCCTTCATCCATCACTTTGCCTTATCAGACATTGATATAAGTTATTCAATGTTTTTGATGCCTTAAAACAATTTTCAATCAATTTAAGTGTATGAAAGATGCTGTCTTCCTCCTCAGAGTTAGTGGCGATTAACGAGAACAAGCTGTGTTTCATGGTAAAGTATAAGCAGTTATCATTATTAATAGAAACCTCAAGACTGAACTTTCTTTTCATCATGACACTTTTAAAGTACATTGTGTCAGAGCATCATACCTTGCCAGTGATCACAGGAAACCTAAGCAAAGGATTAGACTTGTGGATTTCCTTATTTTTAGAGTTCCTGTCAAACATATGACTTGTAACAACAGTAATGAGCAAGTGTGTCTCACTCAGTGAGCAGTTCCATGTACAATCCTCGTGCCTGAGTTCTAAGAAACGGACTGATGCTGAGCCTTTGGACTGGGTCCTCTCCAGCCATTAGCAGAAAGCATCTATGCATTCAGGGTGCAGCTTCTTGTGTTTGGATCCTATATATAACCATATCTCTATTTGTGGGTCTTTTTTCTGAAATTCTGTTGTACTGAGAAAATTATCCCTGTGTAATTAACAGGGAATCTTGGATCTGCATTTGATTATGTGTCATTTCAGGATTCAACTATATGAGAGACAGGGGCTTATCCATGACCTATGATGACAGCTCTGCTTTGTAAACAAAAAATACCAGACCCAACAAAATGCTAGGAAAACCTACTATCCAGCAGCAGTAGCTAAAGCTAATGAATTGTAGCACATAGCTCCAGAGCTCCTCTGACTGTAGGTGAGAAGGGCCAG